CTATCCAGTATAAATAAAATTAGTTTAGGTTTCCTCCTGTAGTAACACTGGATCAATAAGAGATGATCCTTACTGGACCTCTAGGAAGAACAGTTTAGAACTGATAGAGTTATCCAGTATAAATAAAGTTAGTTTAGTTTAGGTTTCCTCCTGTAGTAACACTGGATCAATAAGAGATGATCCTTACTGGACCTCTAGGAAGAACAGTTTAGAACTGATAGAGCTATCCAGTATAAATAAAGTTAGTTTAGTTTAGGTTTCCTCCTGCAGTAACACTGGAGCAATAAGAGATGATCCTTACTGGACCTCTAGGAAAAACAGTTTAGAACTAATAGCTAGACCTATATCCAGTATAAATAAAGTTAGTTTATGTTTTCTCCGCCATGTACCATATATATTGAAAGAGTCGAACTTGTAACCTATCATTGTATATTCATATACCGATTCATCTGCTAAATTATAATGTGTAAATATATGCGTCATTTTTTGCATTTATCAATTGTGTTTCACTTCCTACCAGCCCATGTGGTCAGTATTCTATTTTAGGATCTCAATTAATGTCACCTAGAGATAGACTTCTCGCCTTTGGCGAGCTGTCTCACACCGAGAATATCGTAGAAAAGATTTAAAATAAAAAGTGACAGTTTGCGGCAAAGGTGGCGTGATAGGAAACGTGTTTGTTTTCCGCTCTGGGAACTCACGCGATGGATATACAGAACGTGCCAAATGACACCCTGTGTGTTGAATGAAACTGATCAATTTCGACTCAATTATATTGAATATTTCCTTATTACCATTCAACTATAAAAAAATTATGAGTACTTTTAACGCGGGGGTTCGGTGTAGGTATAGAGTATATATATACATGCAATATATATATACGCTTACGAGAGGCATTCACCCCCTGAAAATATTCAAAATGGTGGACGTTCAGGGGGGTGAATGCCTCTAGTAAGCACACTGGCTATAGGAACATGCCGAGTGCGTTTTGATGACGAATTGATGGCTTGGTGGCGGTCACGCTTTTTTGGATGAGTCAACCTTCTGTAAGGTGTCTATTCTGTGTCAGGAATTTAGCAAACTAGACTGTCGCGGGTTTCGATTCCCGCGTGGCGACACTCATAGTCCAGCTCAGAGTAATATCAGCCATTATCGATGCGAAAGATTCAGGTTCACGGTCAAAAGATTTGCCAACTGAATACTCGCGGTGTTTTCCACAAACCAATTATAAATAAATTGATCGGCCGTGCAAATCTGCAAGGAACTTATGCGTTTTGTTGAAACAGTCGTCAATTCAATGTTAAACAAAACTATCTTTGATCTAGAAGCATCGCTTTTGTCGTTGCCTTTGATGTTCATTGTCGGTGTACCTTTGATCTATTCCTAGCATCGTCGGCTTTTCCCTCAACTAGTTGGGCTTTTCCCTGCAGCGAAAATCATGCTAAATATGTTACATAAAAGCAGGATAAACTTTGGTTGTAAAATAACTATCAGAGTACATTCACACGACAGCGCTGCACTCAAGTCCGTCCAGTTACAATATATTCGCACGGTTCAAGGACCAGACACACCGGACGCGATGACGACGACGTGGCGCAATTTTTCGATTGTCACTTTTAGATAACTTTGATCTTGGTTTAAGTTTTTCAAATATTTAAAAGCGTTATGAACACTTTGAGTTACTTGGTGTACATTTCCTTTTATACACGATTTTTTTACCGTTTCAAAAACTGAAAAATCACGCATGACGAAGTCGCGCAAATTTGAATACAGTCTTGTGCAAACAGAGTTCTAGCCTTTTCTGTGTTGGTGTTGTGTACTCAGGTGAATATGATGCTTGTGATGTTACTCTGAGTGTATATCCACACCGGACAAGCTTGAAAAATATACCTGACCACGGTGGGAATCGAACCTATGACCTTTGGAATACTAGCCCAATGCTCTGCCAACTGAGCTACGCGGTCAGGTCGGTTCGAGTATACGATATTTCGAATACGAGTCTAGTTCCTTCGATATTGATAATGATCGAACCGACCTGACCGCGTAGCTCAGTTGGCAGAGCATTGGGTTAGTATTCCAAAGGTCGTAGGTTCGATTCCCACCGTGGTCAGGCATATTTTTCAAGCTTGCCCAGCATCACGGCATCAGAGTTCTAGCCGTTATCGACACTGCCCGAACACACTTTCTAATGATTATATCTAACTATATATCCTTATCTAATTCACGTGGGAGACCTTTATAATGTTATGTCGGCCTCTTTCTCTTTCAAACGCCCATAAGTGGGTGTTTCGGCGATTCTGGTCTCTTTGCTCAAGTAATGGAAGTAAATCTTAAAATCCTAGTTAATACTGAAACAATATGCTTGTGTAATCAGTTTCTTGTATGTTTGCGATGAATATTACTGTATTGCACTGTTTTTGTAAGAAAAAACAACGCCGGCAGCATTTCAATTTTCTGATATTTTTTCATTCTCTTTGATTTATGCCTTTGTGGTATGTTAGATGAGGAAATTCTCAATTGCAGCAAAAATTGACTCGTTTGGCCCACACGATGTTCTTCAAACAGTCTCAAAGATTTGCATCCAATAACATCAGATAATGTTTGACCAATTTTTCTTAGAAATTGAATGGTTATTATCCAATAATTACATTCTCACAGTCTTTGCCAAATTTTACAAAATTTTCCATGAGGAAGCTGTATATTAGCTTACATAGTTACTTATTCCTTGTGTATACAAAGCTTGTGTAAGTACATAAGTGCTCACGAGAGACAATGCTTTCTGTACTCAAAGCGACACCAAGAGTCGCTATGGCGCAACTCACCGCTAACCGCATTATAATTGTCAGAATATGAAACACAATACCCCTTATAATGGCATGAATTTGTTCAGACAATAACTGTAAGGTCATAGAGCGGCTTAGCAGTGTAATTTACGTCACAACTTGGCAACACTTTAGGTATAGATTTCCGATTTGACTCGCCCCGACTTCTTATGTCGAAAATGTAAACAGCAGCAGGAAAGCGTAGATCGAAACTGTTTAGTAATCTCGCTGTCAGATATTCTATATTGTTCGTGCTTTCGTGGTGCGGTACTTTCCATTGATATTTTCTAATTCAATGAGGTAATTTTAATTTAACCAGTTCTAAGCACGCAGTATTCTTAAAGGACTTTGTTTAATTGTATGTTTACTTTTCGGCACAAAAAATATTGATTCAATTTTCTAGCTCATTAGATAAATTGCGTGCCTGAATTTACATGTGGAATAAGATTAGTTATTGTGAGGTTCGTATGAATTGCCGCTGTGTGTCACTTAGGTCGTCAGAAGGCACGTTGCATTACCACAAGCGAGTTTTATCTATACTAGCTTTTGTCCATGAAAGCTTTCCAACTGTTTCTGAGGTAGCTTGCCTTTTGTGGCGATATGGTTTCCCGGTGAGAAGCGAAAACTTCTGTCTTATATATTATTATTGTTGTTGTTTAGATGAATTGGACGCATGTAATCTTACACTAGCGTTGGTCGTTGTGGATATTTGAAACTTGATCCTTTTGATATTTCTGGAAATCTGCAGCATTAAAGGAATTGATGGTTTGTCGTATGTGAAGTTACGTTGGAATTAAAGTAATCGAACGTAAGTTTTGATAGTTGCGTATTGTGCTAATTAATTGAATGTTGTGACATACTGACATTTAACCCCAATCCATATTACTCTTGTCTTACGCTAGACGATTTTACTCTGACGCGAGACAAACACTCCGTCTGGTATTGGCCAGAGCAAAGTTTGACACATTACAGACAAATTTATTCTGTCCAACGCTGTAGACAAATCTACTTAGTTCTACTCGACCCAACACAAGAGGATTTAACTCTGTCTGACGCCATGAGTCTATATTACTCTGTGTAACGCCAGACGACTTTACTCTATTAAACACCGGACACATTTACGCCAATCTCGTACCCAGAGCCATTGTCGATCTAACGTGAAACGGTTTAATTTTACTTTGATCAACGCGATCAGATTTTACTTTGTCGACGTCAGACAAATTTACGCAGATCAATGTAACGCCAGATTATTTCACCTTGTCAAGGATATTAAAATAATAAATTTATATAATATTACACCCAAAACAAAGATATTAAAATTTTAATAGCCTAGTCGTTAGTACGAGATAATTTATTTTAAGTTGCGGTGATTTTGGCCGAAATTACTTTAAAAGATTACAACACTTCGTTTTGGCGAATAAAGGCTCTTAGTCTCGGGAAGTTGACAATCTGTTTTAGCACTCCGTATTATTATACAAACTCTTGTTTCATGAGAAATCATAAGTTTACCGTGACTTCCATTTTATGCTTAGCACCATTGCGTGTAGTTAAGTTTACTTTGTTTTTATCCACAGGCATTTGGCACTCGGGATATGCGGTGTCTTTGAAATTTAGCGCCAAGTTATGGCCATAATTTATTTGGTAATAGCTAATGTCCACTGATTCTTAGCACTTTGGGTTTAATTGAAGTTTATGACCCCCAACCTAAGTTACCGCTGAAAAGAACTGCCTTCAAGAAAACATTTGCTTTTCTTGCCATGAGGTATAAGCTCCGTGGGCTAGTATTCCGAAGGTCGTAGGTTCGATTCCCACCGTGGTCAGGCATATTTTTCAAGCTTGCCCGGTGTGGATATACACTTAGAGTAACGTCACAAGCATCATATTCACCTGAGTACATTACACCTTCACAGAGAAAATCATGATTATTAGATTGCATTGATATCGAAGGAACTAGACTCAGTTCCGAAATATCACATACTCGAACCGACCTGACCGCATAGCTCAGTTGGTAGAGCATTGGACTAGTATTCCAAAGGTCGTAGGTTCGATTCCCACCGTGGCCAGGCATATTTTTCAAGCCTGCCCGGTGTGGATATACACTCAGAGTAACATCACAAGCATCTTATTCACCTGAGTACATTACACCTTCACAGAGAAAATCAAGCTCCGTACAGTCAACAAGTTTTCCTTGACAAGTTCCTTTCTCGTGTGTACGGTCGACAGTTTTCCGTGACAAGTTTCCTTGACAAGCAGGTTTCTTTTCTTGTGTGAACGGTCAACAAGTTTTCCCTCGACAAGTTCTATTGTTCATGCGCACGGAATGTTGTTAAACATTTATCTCACGCCAAGGCCGCCTTTGCTTGCCGCGGAAAACCGATACAAGTATTTCTTGTACAAGTGTCACGTTTTCCTTGTCGGTCGTAGGCACGAACAAATTTTCCTTGTCCAAAAGCTGGCACGACTACCTTTGGAATGACGAGGCTCCTCGGGCAAAGAAACATTGTCAAATTTTTTGCTGTACTCACGAGCAAATGAAACTTGTCAACGAAAACTTCTCAAGGAAAAATTGCCCGTCTGTATACGAGGTTTTAAAGTTGCTCTGGATAAACAAATACAAAACTACTTTATTGGGGGTCGATCGGCTTCAATTGATCAGTACTATTGAATTAGCATACAATTGCATAAGGTTCCAAATTGTACAGCACACTTTGAGAATTCGGAAATTCTATCAAACATATTTTGACCGCAAAAGGAAATTTGTATATCCTGGTAACGGGAAGTTTATAACGGAAGTTTATGGCAAAACTGACCTGATATGGGCGCCTTTTATACAACGGTGCTCCTCTGATTACACGAGAGTTTAAATGTCAAAAATCTCAAAATGACTTTGAAAACAACTTTGGGCGACTGATTCAACCAATTATCGAGAAAACGATCGAGGTGAGAGTTAATTAATAATGATGAGGAAAATTACTAATAATCTTTCGAAAAAAGCGTACATAATTATTGGTGGGTCATAATTATTAATTGTGGGTTAGAGTTTAGGATAAGAAAAGCGTAAACAGCGAGATATTAGGACGTTAACAATTGAACTTTATTTGAAAGCCCTGTCTACGTCAACTATTCTATGCGCCGAAGCATTAACTTAATTTAAGCTCTTTCCCACAAGGATTGAAATGGGTTATATTAGAACAGTTTGAGTCAGACAATCTGAGTAGTCTTACAGACATCTTATTCAACTCAGTTTTCGTTTGGCACCTGTTATTACCGAGTCACCGAAGTGTTTCGTTTGTGCGCGCGTTGTGAACACGCTGTAACATGTCTTTATACCAAACCCGAAATATGTCTGGCACTCTAGCGATGCTTTTTTAATCGGAAATAATGTGTGGGAATAAAGACTACTTGCATCTGTGAGTCTCAATATGTGGTACAGAGCAATAAATGGTACAACTCTAAAAGAAAAGGCTTAGCATTATTTGGACACTTCCACTGTATCAATGCAGTTGAAGGCAAGTATTGTATTGTGTCTATATCGTATATAGGACACTCGCCTCTAAAATGAAAATAGTGCATTATTGCTGCATGTATTGTTGACAAAAAAGGCAATCACTAATCAGGAAGTTATAAAACGAAAACAATGTTTCGCTCATTAATATGAAATTCAAAAGTGCCTGCGAGCATGCTCAATGTTTCCTGGGTAGTAACTAAGTTATCTTGCTATACTTGATACTGGTGGGGCTTTGGTATACTTGATACTGGTGGGGTGGGACTTGTTATACTTGATACTGGTGGGGCTTTGGTATACTTGATACTGGTGGGGTGGGACTTGTTATACTTGATACTGGGGTGGGACTTGCTATACTTGATACTGGTGGGGCGCCTTTCATCTCCGAGTTCGTGGCTTCGATTCACGCTCTGCCTATGGACTCATGTGAAAAGAGTCAGTCAACGATCTGCCGAAAGTCGTGTGTCAGTTTTCTCTGGGCGCTCCGGTTTCTTCCCACAGGGAAAATTGACAGGGTGGGTTAGGATTAACATAGTTAAGAAAATAATATCTCAATTGTTGTGAAGATAAGATAATCTAGGCTAAGTACGTCATTAGGTAAGCGTATAATACTTGAAATTTGCGTTAGAAAAATGATAATTGTAATAAGACAAAACTCCCCCCTTATAACCCCTTATTATCTTCCCACCTTCTATTGTGCGTGGGGAGGACTCACCCTCCGCCCCGTGCCACCTCCCACAGCCTCCAATCGACGTACAATATATCCGATCATTTTAATAAGTATTTTCGTTGTACCATTCAAGAAATTTGTTTTTAGCATAGGATCAGCCAATTTCTAAATATATTGGCAGCGTTAGCTAAATCTGTATCTCAAACTCATTGATAATTCATGAGTAAATTAGCCAACCATATTTCTTTATTTCGCTCACAATATAATACTGGATACCTAGTGAAGTACACTGATCCAATCCTAGGACTGGATCAAAATTAATTCAGTCCTTGGACTAGATCCAAATTAATTAAATAAGTGATTTATTCGCATGAGATGTCGTTATGCGAGGACTTGAAATCTAGTCCAGTCCTCATATTGCTTTATTTCGCTCACATGATAATACTGGATACCTGATATTGATCCTGTCCTAGGACTGCATCAAAATTCGTATGAGTTGTCATTTCAAATCCTCCAATTCGGACTGGACTAGATTTCAAGTGCTCGCATTTTCATCCAGTCCTCGGCTTCGCTTCGCCTTCGGACTTGATCAAATTGCTCGAACTTGAAATCAAGGCCAGTCCTCATAGAGTCGGATTTGAAATATTACTTATTTATTTATTTATTTACTTTGACATCATACTTATACATTCATTGGCTGGGAAACCACAACAGCTATTGCCAATTACAGCCGCCCCAAAGTGTACAATTTCCAACTTCAAAAAATTTCCAACTTCAAAAAAAAAAATTTCCAACTTCAAAGACCAACCTAGGTGGCTTATCGTAAAATAGCGCGTCTGGCTACAGTCGGAAACTGTTACTCCACATATTGTTTCGCCGCAAATCGCGGAATGAAGCTGAATCGAACTGAACACTGATTGACATCAATTTGACGTAAAATGCTATTGTTTCATTGAGCAGTAGGGTAGAGGAAATTGTACAAATAGATAAGATTTAAATTAACTAGAAACACAATTTAATAACCGAAAGAAAACGGAAAAAGCCGTTTGATCTTATTCAAGGGAGATGATGTTTTACTCTGCGCTGCAAAAGTTCATCATTTATGCGGTGACATGCTGCCGTTCTAATTGATTTTGCCATCTGAAATGACCTATTACGTTAAAGCTCTCCCGTGTTCTTATCTCTGGAATACAGAATATTATACGATAATGATTATTGATCTAATCACAGAATACGACACGAGCTCAAGATCTAATTAGAACATTAATCAAGATCGTTACAAGAGGTACAACGACCTCCTTCGAGAGAAGTCATAATTAAGCAAGTCGTCCTTATCAAGACATTAAAGCTTGTTTGAGTCGGGATTTCGTTGGCTAGTTACTTCCAGTGAACTCTCTCTCTCTATATATATATATATCTGGAACGTCAGTCATTCGGCCTATGAGAAAAATGAAGCCAAGATGACTGCCATTGATGTCCAATAGCTATGAAGGTTGTAAACAGTTTATATAAGGCATTTTCCCCAGCTTATAATTCCATTTTTTTCTAACGGACCGTAATCATGTTATCAGTTCATAAAACTATAGTATTATTCTTAAGTTCTTTGTATGTTTGCATGGCGATAAAACATATAATAGTTTTGTTTGTGGAAACACCACGTAAATTTATTACTGCAAAGCTTTCGATCCGTAAGCCCGGATCTTCATCAGTGCTAATCATATGTGACTTGTTTTTACTTATATATCGTATATATCCGCTGAATGTATTGAATGCTGACTCAAAAATACAATATGGCGGCCTGCAAATGCATTTCAAAATTTGTATTTTTTCGTGATTTCTTTAGACTTTCAGAATTAACAATGACGGTTTATAGAAGATCAATGGCTGGACACAGCAAATGGGCAAATATTAAGTTTAAAAAAATGCACAGAGACATTGCTGAAAGTATTATTCTTTAAATCAAAGTCAAATTACGAAATTCCGGCACATTCCTTACAGACCGCGCAGAAAAAACAATAGAAAGGGACTGAAACTGACGTCCAATAAGGAAATAGCTCTATCTTTGGCTTCACTTTTTGGTCTCTAGTTTTCGGTCCAGTTATATGTGCAGCTCATTGGACACTTCATGCTTACTGCACCTCTAGGGAGAACAGTTTAGAACCCAATCTAATAAACAAGCATTATTCCTGAAGGCCTAGAAGCCCTAGATATTTCTTCGACTTCTTTATTTTGATTTTCTGAAAGCAATTCGCTCTCCTTCAGTTCGCACTTACCTCAATTACCAAACCGGAAGCTGTAAAAATGAAACAAAATTAATTCACGGTAACTGAAGATGACGTTAATGAGTAAATATCAGTATATATTGATATATTACATCGTATCCATGTAATAAACACGGCATGGTAACATTTAAGATGTAATTAATACTTGGCAACAGTTGCGGTGTCAGCCTATATTTATAACTCGTACATGTCCTCGAGCTAAGGTTATTGACGGAAATTTAAATAATAATCAAAACATACACTGAGTCACTGATGAGGCGGATTAAGCCTGAGTCTCTTGCCTTCGTGGGAATATAGTCGGTCTTTGGCACGGATTGGTGACAGTGGTCAGCATTGCCATGATTTTGGGTTGCTTTTTAAAGCAAGTATTAAAATGCTTTAATAAATACTCCTAAAACAGTTCTGATATTAATACTTCTAAAAAAAAAACTAGCAACAGAAGGCTGTGATTTAAGAGAGATACAACTACTTTAATAAAAGATATAAGCAGAATTCCGAATTCGATGTTTACCGTCCCAACGAAGGGAAAAGTTTTAAAGCTTATATTTTAAAGCAAAGGGAAGTTTTGCTTATATATTTTACGGTATACCAGGAGGATTTACCAGTATTACGGTGTACCAGGAGGATTTAACGAAATAACATATATCGTATTAAGTTCTTTGTATGTTTGCATGGCGATAAAATATAATAGTTTTGTTTGTGGAAACACCACGTAAATTTATTACTGCAATAATAAATAATACAGTACAATATACTGTACAATATACAATATATTCTTGCAGTAATAAATTTACGTGGTCTTTCCACAAACAAAATTATTATATATCATATTCACATGTGCATTTTAGACTGTGGGTAAGTATTAAATTGCAAAAGAACAACGAAAACAACAACAACAACAACAACATGGCAACGTACAATAACAATAACAATAACAATAACAATAACAATAACAATAACAATAACAATAACAATAACAATAACAATAACAAAATTAAACACAAATATACTCCAAACTCCATATACGACATACTTCAACTTGGTCAAGAATACTTTTAATGTGAATATCAGAATATGCCATGGACTGCTCCAGTGCTCCTGCCATCGTTTCTAAACTGCATTATGTATATATTTTCTGTAAATAGATCTTCTTTTTTTCCGTTTTTGTTACCTAGTCATACTTTTGTGCCTTGCATGGGTCTCGTTTTCCCGTTTGCATTAGCCCCATTGGACCTTGTAATCTATATTTTTTATGTCCAATAAAGCTGATAAAATAAAATAAATAAAACTCTGGAACAAATTTCTTGAGGTTGAGGTTGGCTAGGTGTTGGCGGAACAGTGATTAGCGCATGCGTGTTGCATGTATTTGTCTGATTTTTACTCCACTGGGCAACGGCATGGCCCTATAAAGCTACAAGTATTTCTATGTCTGTGATGTGCGATTAGTCCAAATGTGTCTGTCCACTAGGACGAGTTTTTTTGTAAAGAATGCAAGAAAAAAATTAATACCACTACACATAACACATTTTACGTATTTCAAAAGTTGACAAATGACAAAGTACGGGGCCGTGACAGCTTCGGGGAGCTTACACGAGGCAACAACAGACATTTGATTTAAAAACTTCCGAATTGAGATAAGATTCTTGCTTCCCCGTGAAGATTTTATTGAGTCTTCTATAATGACTTCAAACGCGCTGATTTGAAGCGCTCTGGAATGACGCATGTAAATTCCAGAGATTGGTTGTGTAAAACTCTTAACCACTATATTTTGTAGTTTAATATTAGTTAAGTTAAACTCTAAAATACGCGATTTTGATTGGTTAACTGTGCTCCAGCGAGTGTTATAACTAGGATTTTACATTGACCGAATCTCAGGGTGATATATGCTACCCCAGAAATTTTTTTATTTTCTAACTCTTAGAAATGCTATTTCCTGCATTCTGAGAGCAGTTTTATAAAAAAATAAATCTCATAAACGGCGACACAATGACTTTAAGCTCTGTCTTGCATTCCAATCAGTATCTGTTTTCTTTGAATTTGATGTCTTCCTGTTTTACATTTTTTACGAAATTTCTTGCCAAGGACACGGTTGACTCATTTCTGGTCCATAGGATAATACAGAATCATTCATCTATATATAACAAACTAATTCGCATACTGAAAAATCAGCGAAAATCCTGGTCAAGCTCATATACATACTTGACTGTGCATTTTGTTGTGCTTTCGTCATTCGTAGACCCACAATATAGAAGGTGGACCCTATATATTGGACACCTAGAGTGGAACAGTTTAGAGCTGGTAAAGTGATAAAACGAGTAGTTATCAATTCCTGATCTGTGGCACGCGCTAGGCATGAGGCCGCATTTAGACAAGAAAACTCAGGGAATGTGAACATCTCATAAACGACGCTAATTACACCAGTCTAAGTGATAGTCGAGGATAAGAGCTCTCGTCAAGCAGGAAAAATAATGAAACTGTTGCCCTTTTATGTAAATATCCGTAGTACTTGATTGGATATCCTTTCAACAATGTTGAAAAGAGCACTTAACTCAGATTCCGTTCATTGTACTGAGAAATTAAAACTGACATTAAAATTAAAAGACATTTTGTTAGTTTTGTTAGTATAAAACATTAACAAAGTGCTATAGAATATTGCAAGCGACCACTGAGAATGAACATCATGAATATTAGATAGTTATCTGATCATTTCTACCATTTGCACAGACCTTGTTAAAACTTGGTGCGTGTTAGGTCTGCGTACAGGCTAAATCAGTCCTGAGTAATTATTCTGAGACTGCGATGGAGACTTTATTTGCCTCGAGCGGGAATAGACCTGAACCAAAACTTCGTGATCCTTGTCCGCCCTCAACCCATTATCAGAGCCAAAGGTGATTGAGTCATATCCAATTTAAAGTGCACGACATATTTTCTTGATGACTTTTGGCGCATTTCGAAAGATGTACTTGGGTTTATACTGGGCAAAGTGTTTGAGATTTTTCTGTCTTCTTGGCTCTCATCCAAATAACTCGCATTATAAATGAGTATCAGTATCTACCAGGCGCTAAGCTGCGATGGCTAGTGTCCCATTCAGGAGGAGTATTTGACTGTCATTAGTTTAGCAGTACAATAAGCTGCCGTGATTTGTGTCTGAACTACCTGAAAAATGACATCTCAAACGTGGGGTCCAGTAGCAGTGTAGAACAAAGCTACCGTCCGTGATTTGTGTCTGACCTACTTGAAAAAAGCTGTGCTGAGTGGTTATATTACTACCTTAAAAAATAAGCAGAAACTCGACGTTTCGAGCGAAGGCCCTTAGGGCCTTCGCTCGAAACGTCTTGACGAAGGGCCTTCGCTCGAAACGTCGAGTTTCTGCTTATTTTTAAGGTAGTAATATAACCACTCGGCACAGCATTTCTACATTGGTACTACCTACACTGGTACAGACAGTTTTAGTACCTGAAAAAAGACATCTCAAACGTGAGGGCCGAGTGTAGGTAGCATTCTACATCAACCTGCAGTAGTTTGTGTCTGAACTACCTGAAAAAGATTAAAACCAGTTTACTGAACATGCAGGTTGTCTTGTGGGAACCCGTCGTTTGAAGTCACAGCGAGGGCTCGAAACATTCAAGTGTTTTTAATCTTTTGAAAATCCAAACCGCGAGCTAGCTGCGAGTACTTTTATCCAATCACAATGCTCGACAGTTTATTTGAATTAGATGCAAGCACTCGCAGTGAGCTTTTTGGTTTTGCCATGCAGAGTGGGAAAGAGCTTTTAAATTAATATTTTACAAACCACGCCGACCTCGAGGCCAGCTTATTGTAGAATTCTTCCTGCACATTTTTGAGATAACCCAGGTTAAACTGTATCCTGATGACCCACGGATTGTATGTAAATTCATAGATTTTAATCCATGAGAACCTGGAGAAAAGTTGGCTCAGTATACCGTTGCCTTAAAAGCTCAATCTGCCCCCTCTCTGTAGGGGGTGCACAACCACTTGTAATTTCCCTTTTGTTCACACATGAAAGTACTTAACTAAAGTGGTTCAAGTCTTTTAAAATAATTATATGCAAGGCAGTTTAAATACCTAATCACTCTACGTTTTTCTTGCATTAGCGAAACACTGGCAGTGTGGTTACTTGCGGGAATTCGAAGCAGTCGTCAAACAGTTTAGTGGCTTGTCGTCGTTGTGTGGCTTCTTCAAGTGAATGAGTGAAGTCTAGAGAGGGACCGAGTCAATTTTGACAGGTATGGACTGTTTCAATGTCGCTTTTGTTTGGTAATGAATGGTACTTTAAGTATTTGGTAATTTTGACATCTTCCATCTTCCTATCAACCTATTTCAACAAGCTTTTATTACAAAACTATAGTTAGAAGCGTGTGTTCAATAGTATTCATCTCATAGTCTGAGAAAAGGCAAAGTTTCGAACAGCAATTATAATGGTACCAAGGATTTGTACATTGCAATATTGTGATATTTATTTTCTACTCGATCGATACTCAATTTTATTATCTATAAAGCTGATAAATTTCCACTTTAGTGGTCAAGTAAGTACCAGCTGTGTACGTTTAGCACCAGATACATCAGTAAACATCTCTTATAGCCTTGCTAGCAAACGAATTTAGTGTCTACTGCGCGTCTTTACGAATTCCATCAAATTGGTTAGTCACTATTTTTGAATTGATATATTGTTCATATTGGCTAAGTATAAATAGATTTATATATCTGTCTGTCTGGAACACTAGTATCTTGTTGCCACGATAAAAAACAGATGTTTCCAAGATGGAGAATATCGTGAAAATATGACAGTTCATATTTTTGATGCTGTCATGTTTTGCCTGATTGAAATTCGCAGACGTCTGAAAGCAATACAGTATGCACTGATCGATAGTGTTGGTCACAGTTTGATGATTTTTTCTGAGATAAATAATCCAGCTTGACCACTAGTTGTTGGATGATGGTTTTACACCAGCCATATATATGTATGCAGCTTATTGGCAAAAAATGACATAATTTTTTCTCATGAGCCCGCAATGAATTACACTTTATAAGGAGATCAATGTTAACCTTAGGTCAGCGGTTGTGTTTATGAAAACAAAATCGCCATTTAATTTAACAGTTTGGGAACGCATTTTGACCAATGCTATAAAAATCAGCAAATTTCTATAATTAAATTGCTTGGACGCAGTCGTTCCATCAACATTAATATCCGGCTAATTTAGCATGATTATCATGACATTATATTTCATGTATAAACATGTAACAAACATGGCTTAATTGTCGATATTACACAATATTTCGAGATTAATAACCTAATAAGGATATTTCCTTGCTTAAATTATTGCAAGGGAGGAGTAATGTATATTGGTACTTCAAGTAATTGTTTAGTCTGTTGCGATGGCAATTTATGATGGTGTGAGCATACCTTGTGTATTGGTTGCGAACAGTGACTTAGGATACCTGCATCATTGATTTTTATTCAGTGAAATAATATAGGAAAACTATTAGCTTTTGCATACAGTTTTAGCATTAGACTATAAACTAAACGTTTGCGCCTGTATTCTAAAAGCACACTCAAAGAGTGGAGGTTCAATCTGAGCTTCCCTCGAGTGTCAATGCTGTTTCTGAATAGCTGGAGAGTGAGTAGTCACATAGTAAGGTATGACACTAACCATCCAGCTATTCAAAAACACCACTGACACTCAAGAGAAGCTCAGATTGAACCTCCACTCTTTGAGTGAGCTTTTAGAATACAGGCGTTAATGATCGGTACGTTGTCCCTAGAGGTCCAGTAGAAGCCTTCGTTGGTAGTCTAATTTTTCTACAGAATCGAAGGAAACCTGAACTAAACTAATTTTATCTATACTAGATAGCTCTATCAGATATAAACTGTTTTCCTTAGAGGTCCAGTAAGGACCATTTTCAATGAGGCAAAACTCGGTTACTAAACAACTGTCCACTCGGAAACTTTAAAATGAACAACTGTTAATCAGGATAAACGATTTGTTGCTATAGAAACTGATCAGGTCTTCCGATTTAATGATGGGAAAATTGTACATGTTGTATGTGCACTCGCATAGCCTAATATCGGTTGACAAAGAATGGTTACTTGTGTCGTCTTTATTCCGTCTTTATTCCTTTGAAATGTTTTATATCACTGTTAACA